AATAAATGGTTTGTTCATTAGTCTTCTGGCTTCAAGAAGGGAGACTAGTTCTCATACCAATCTGAAACAAATGTATCAAATACAGCTTTAAGTATGAAGCTTGCACAGGATGAAGTTGATTGTTACAGCATATGTATAGATAATATTTTGACATATCTTATAGAAAATTTTTGAACAAGTTAATCTCCAAAGTTATTACATTCACTTCATTTATGCTCAGTTCATCTCAGGGCATCCATAACAAAACTTCAACACTTACATTACTAAGGAAAACTGATAGTTCTGATGCTGTGGTGCTGTCTGGAATCTCCGAGGTGTTATATTATTGATACATTGAATTTCAAACTGTACTTTCATAGATTAATGTCATCTGTAGGTGGAAGCTAGTGCACAGTAAGCTATAACTTATTGAATATAAATGTTATATGCATGTTATATAAATATCATAAAATTCTTAAATAAATGTTATATATATATTAAATATTAAATGGGTATTTTCAGAGTAGGCTACTGTGCAGTTTGCTGATATTTAATCCTTATTGTCTCAATTTGCTCATTATCCTTGTTGCTTAAAGTTTTAATCATGAGAAAACAATAAAGAAGTAAAAAAAATGTTGATGCTCCACTTCTTAAACAGCAATTCCCAAAAGACTGAGGAATATATCATTCCTAAAACTAAAATCTTCTGGGCTAAAAGCTCATTTTTAAATTTCTGTTAAAGATTTTTTGTGCTTTTAGAAGTAGTTTAGCCTAAGAGTTCTTCCATCCACTTCCCCCTCTTCAGCTTCCTCATTTAGTCCTTTCACAGAGCAGTTAGGTTGTCAATAAAGTTGCCCAAAGAAACTCTTCATACCCACGTACAGCTTGCAAAGCTGTCAAGAAATAATAGACAGATCATACTTAGCTACTTCCCTCTGGACTTTTATTTAATGAATTGAATGCAGAAAGAAGCACTTGCCATTTTCTATTTGATTTTATGTATCTGTAAAAGTTATGTGGGACTGCTTTCCTAAATTGCTTTGAAAAGAAGGCAGAAATGCTGTACAGAAAATACTCTAATCTCTTCAGTCTTGAACAGTGAATTGCATATGTACATTGATAAGCCTTTGGTACGGGAATTTAAAGCAAGCATTTATCTCCTTTTCTGTTAAAGCTTTAGTTTTCTCACAAATACTCATGTGCGATAACTAAGCAAATCCATTTTTTAACCCTGGTAACTACAAAACGTATGTTTCTGAGTAATGAGAATGAGAAGTTTCACTTTTTTTTTTTTTTTTTTTTTTTTTATAGAGCTCATGTTGCCAGTTGGCAGAAAATGTAACATTTCTGTCTTATTTTTTAAAAAGCTCTGTAACTAGAACTACTGAGAAATACTTTAACTTGTGAAAAAATATCCCTATATTTCTTTCTTCCATATACAACTAAGTATACATTAATTAGTTATGCACGTGGTTGGTGCTGCCATGCTGATGCGTAAATGTGAACAGTGGGCAGCTGACTATACTGCACCCATGTGGAGCTGAATGGACATTTTTGCTCATTTTGAACCATATGAAATCATTCTACTTTCACATTTTAATACCATAAAAATAATTACAAAATATTTTTGTAGCTTCAAGAATGTATCTTAAAATGTAATCCAGTTTTAGCATGTAAGAACTCAATCTATGAAACCAAATAGTCTCATATTCGTGTCTAAGTCATTTTGTGGTAAGACTCTGCACTACACTTTGAAAAATGTGGATGTCCAATAAACTAACAAAACAATGAGAAACTATTCTGCAGTAATCAGCTAGTTTGATAGCTATATCCAGCAGACATAATTTTTATAGCAAAAGACAGCATTTTTATTTCACATCATTCACATTTTCACTCACTCATGGCATCAGTTTAACATTTATTTTTATTACTACATATTTAGAATATATGCCAGAATGATCTGTTCTACCATTTTCCTGTAGTAAAGAAAGCTTATGATTTCTAGAGTAACATTTTTAGGGTTCACTTTTATTTTTGGGTTTTTTTTTGTGTGTGTGTCTCCCTTTGCATTATTATCCTGGTAAATTGCTATATTGTTAACATTTCTCAAATTTCTTGAAGTTGTATCAGAAGATAATACTGGAGTTTCAATTTCATACTTGTAATCTTGACTGTCACTGAACTATTCTACCTTTAATGTACATTTGCTAAATTACTTTGTATCTTACAGTTTTGTGGAAGCTTTATAGTTTTGTTTCTAAAACTTACAGGATGTTTTTTTTCTTTAAAGATCTGAATATCAATATCTAAAATTTTTAATACTTCCAAGTGTGTACCATACATTATGTTTCAATTTCAAAGTGTAAATTTATGGTAAGGTCATATTTTCAAGATCCAAACAGTAACTGATCTTCAGATAAAAAGATAAAAACTCCATGTTAGCCAATTATTTTTTAAAGACATATAAGATCTTTTATTAGGCATGCAGAAAAGTGAGTATATATCTAAATTTAAAGGTACTTGCAATGCTTGTTTTTCATACTACACTGTACAAATATATTTTATTTTTCAGAAATTGCATCTCTTTTTGTAGACAAAATTGTCTTTAAAAAGAAATGGATATATGTTGTTTGTGTATATATCTTATAAATACTTTTATATATATATACAAGTATATATATATACATATCTTTTTGCTAAAGTGGAGGAAAACACCTGAATGTGGAAGACAGAATGAAATACAGCTGAAAAATAATTTCTCCATCCACACTGAAAAGCATAGAAGCAATACTTAAACTACCAAATTATTTCAGAACTGGAACTACTGGTTTTTGGGTTTTTTGGGGTTTTTTTTTGATTGTTTACAAAATTGCAAAATACATGTCAGAAACATCCTTTCTTTAATGATGAAAAATTAGTTTTTGAATAATCCTAATTAAAAAAATTGTGGCTCATTTAATTTTAGCTGCATATTTTATTAGTTCATTTTCAGTGTATATTTTCTATACAAGTGTATTTTTTATTTTTAAAGCTTTGTTTTTTTAAATAAAACAGGAAAAAAAATAATAAGGCTCACTTTTTTGTTTTCATTTTGCTGTCTGAGCAGAGTCTGTTAATTCATGCATACTGGTTTTTGCCATTGCATTGATTGACAATTGCAGAATAAATGGTATATCAGAAACTGGGTATTCATTCTCATGTACAGAGCAGGAAGTAATATTTTTAGGCTTGCAAAACAATCTAGAGATCAAAAAGTACAAGAAACAATAATCCTACTGCTACATATTTCTTAGTTCTGCCAAAATTTGGATTATAGTTAAAAATAATAATAATTTTTTTAGAAAGCAATATTAGTACTGTTACTGTTGGTCATGTTTATTTCTGAAGGGACAAAATTTAAGATATGCTTGAGTTTAGGACTTCATTAACCTTTTTCAGAAATGTGCTGAACTGGTGCAGCTTTAACCAGCAGACAGAAATTAGTTGTGAGGAAAGGAAATATCTACATCCAAAGAGAACCTCCTAAACCTATGAAATACTTTCATTCTGTCTTTGTTTCTGTTTACAAGGCATGCATTTTATTCCTATACCTTCATCTCCACTGGTGGGCAAGAAACTGGATTTGGCTTGTAGGTTTTTCTATTTGGCATTTCTGTTTTCCCTTTTTCAGAGGCTATAGAAAACATCTGCTTGGTGCAACAAACACTCCCCAGTCACCTGCACAGTCCTTGTTCCTTGTTCATGGTGAGGAGCCAGCTCTCAGCAGCTGCTGCCACCTCTATATAAGTGATGTGTAGAAGAAGCAGCTGAAAACATGCCTTCTTGTGAATCATCCTGCAGACAGAAACAAGTCAGTGCTGTCACTGCCGCCATGAACAGAGGCAGAGGGCACAAAGAATGCAGTTTCCTCTTTGTAACACTTAATAATAGGTTACATGGATTACAAATAACACAACTGACAAGCCTATTAAGTGCCGGATAAATATCTAGAAAGTTGTGCCATGAATTCAACAGTAAAGAAAGTCCACTGGTTTTCAGGCTGCCAAGAACATCACCTTGAAGCTTTTATATTATTGTGAGAAAAACAATTACACTCTGAATGTCTTCCTGACACATGGGATCACATCCTTTTCTTTTATTACATGGTCTTCAAGGCAAGATATTAGATTTTGCAAGGCAGTTGGCTAATTATCTTGCTTAAAACACCAGCCTTAATGGTTGGCTGCGCTCTTTTCTGACATTGTAAAAGTTTTAAAAGTAGTTCACACTAATATTGGTAGAAACTGGGTGCATAGCTTGAGGACAGATTATAGTCTTCATCTTGTAGGATGTGAAAATAAATGAGACTTTGTTGTCAAAAGCTGAACTTTTCTTTAATTGTTAATATGTTTTGGCAAGACTTCAAGACTATATCTTATATTGAGAGATGCTCATCTTGCAACATTAGATAAGAACATGCAAAATGCACAAACCATGAAGCAATTCATATCTCTTTTACAATCATGGTCATAACCAAAAAAACATTCTTTCAAATGAATTCAGCATTCGAACAAAAATTTCAACATTCAGCATGTCAACAAAAATTGTTTACTCTTGACATTATTTGTCATCTGTGCTGGACAGCTACCATGAAAAGAAAGTTTCAGTTGCACATTTTAAATAAAGTAATTCAATATTTTCTTTTTTTTTAAAAATAGGTTCTATGCACAACAAATATAACTTCATTTTTCATAAAAATACAGTTGGATACTGTATATACTGTACTTGGTGCTATTTAAAGAGCAATGCATTTTTTAATTCCAATTTCCTTTGAAATTAGTGAGATTTAAATGTTTTAAATCTTCTTTTGCAAAGAATAAACTTGTGAAACAATTGTATTAGCTCTATGTATTTGGACCTCTTACCAGAATATTGTATGGGCTTCTTAGGTATGCATAAAGAAAACAATAAATATTGGAGACTACTATCCCCAGGAGCAAAGAAATCACCGTCTCTGACTCTGTTCCTTCTTTGTCAAGCAGATATTATTCTAAATTTCCGAACAACATATGTCAGCAAATCTGGCCAAGTTATATTTGAAGCAAGATCTATTTGTATCCATTACGTGACTACCTGGTTTATAATTGATTTAATTGCTGCGCTTCCCTTTGATCTTCTTTATGCTTTCAACGTCACTGTGGTAAGTACAAACTATAATATTTTTTCAGAGGAGACTGTGTATGTGCTTTTTTTGTTGTTGTTTCTTCTTATTGTTGTTTGTTTTCCTTTGTTTTTCAAATCTGGAGGCTAAAACTTAATGAACTGAATTACATTTGTGTCTTTTGTTAATTGTTAACAAAAGTTAACAAAAGTTGTTAATCACTTTTCCTTGTTTTTAGACTTTATTAATTTAACAAACCGTTTCCTCATGTTTGTTCTCAGATTTTCATTCCATTGACTCTCAGATGTTGCCTTGAAAGAGCAGTGAGAAGATGCATCAGGGAGCTTCTCACTCTTTTGCTATTCAGGCCCAGCAAAAAGGCCTGCTCTTTAGGGGTGCTTTATATTCTCCAAGCTACGTAGAATTCTGTAAATGCCTATGTATATATAGCACATATGTATCACCCTTTCCTTGAAGATTTGTGTAGTTAGAGCATGTTCAAAGTAGTGAAGTGCATTAACAATCTTGGACATAGAAGTGAAACCATAAGAATTGTCCCTACTGCCTTTACGCCCCACAGGAATCCTGCACTATCACTAACTGGTGAACCTTCAGAGGCTTCAGTCATGTTCATTCCTAGCCTCAGTGACTGATTAGATTCTTGCTCCTCCCATCCCTGTGTTCATTGGATAGAAGGGAACCATGGAAATATGTACAATGCTGCTGAAATAAAATGGTTTTTAGTGTTAATAATAAAATAATAGAATCATACAACATTCTGAGCTGGAAAGTACCCACAAGGGTCATAGATTCCAATTTGTGTTTCCACATGGGAGCACCCAAAATTCAAACCATAATTCTAAGAACATTATCCAAATGTGTATTTCATCTCTGGTAAGCTTGCTGACCTCTTCCCTGGGAAGCTTGTATTCCTGATTTAATTTGCTTCTCTCTGAGTGATTAGTGGTGGTATAAAACAAAAAAAAAGTTTGTTTAGGAAAACTAGACAACCAAGCAGACAAAAAAGGATGAAAGACTGCCACTAGTACTTGAATGTATCACATTTTTTATTATTTCCTTTTTTCCTTTTTTTTTTTTTTTTTTTTTTTTTTTGCATAGGAGATGATGCTTTAAAGTAAACAACTCCCTTACTAGATATCAACTTTATTTCTCAACACTTCTCAGTATCAAAGAATGCCACGATTGAATTTTTTGTTGATTTTAGATAAAATTCTGACTCTGTCATTTTGACAGAAAAAGGTTAACCTACCTAGTCTGAAAGGATTAAGCAACTGGAAAATTTACATGGCTTTATGTCTGTGGACAGAGCAAAATCTACACAGACACAAGTATGAGCGCTGACTCCTCATTTTGTCTGTCTAAATTTATGACATAGAAAGGAAAGCTGGCTGATGGTATTTGAGGTCTTTCAATGACACATTAGGCACAATAGAAGCCGAGTTTTTGACATGACTAATGAGGAAATTCATTACAATTATGTATGATTAATTACATCTGTGTTCAAATTTATGAGCAAATTATTTTGGAATGAGGCAGACTTTAGGCATTAAAGTAAAGTGTCTACAATTTAAAAAATATATCTGATTTGCAGCTTATATACATAGGAATGTTTTTTTTAACTTAATAAAAATGGTTATAATTTAGTTATGGGTAATAACTTGTTGAGTGCACTTACTTTTTTAACAGTTCTTTTGATACTTCTTATCTGTAGGAAACTAGTTAATCTCACCTCAGATATCTTTGTGCTGCAACAGGATGTAGGCTCATATGCAAAGATGAGGGCTCCAATGTGAAAGTCACAGCATGTATATACCATCTATATATTTATCTGTATGTTACTGCAACACCTGTGAGTGTTGCTCATTAAGAAGGGCCCTTTCTACTGAGAGTACAACAAACAGAAAAATGGTAGTGAAAAAAATGGGTAGTGAAGAGTGCATGATGATTGGGAGAGGATTACTCCTGCACTAACAAAACTGTGTAAGTAAAAAAAGATTTAAAAAAATGAACTCTTAATTCTTGAGAGCAGAATGAAATCAATGATAAGTTAGATTTTCCTGAATAAGTATAAAATAATCTGTGTTACAAAATTTAGCGGTCAGATTGAACCTAGTTGTTAGCAAACACACGCCTGTGAAATTAAGATTTCAAATTATTAGTTTTGTTGGTAGCACTAAGAAAGTTTAGCTTCAGATTACTCTGGATTAGTACAAGAAAAAGATATTGATCTGTATGGGTCTTTACACTATTTTCAGAGAGCTGATTGAGGTTCTCAGGGAGTACAATGAGAATAAATGTCAAGTTTGATGTTATTTTTCTTTCTGTTTGTTGGTGTGTATATCAGTCAGGTATCTAGTAGGCATTAATACTAATATCTCATTAATGAAGTAAAAAGAAAAAACCCTTATTATTAATGGCAATTGTGCCTATTTAATTTTTGAAAAGTAAAAAAAATTTTGGATCCTTATCTGCATATTTTTTGCTAACACTTGCAAACAGCTGAAATGTAAGCCAAGTAAAGCTCATGCAAAGCTTCTGAGTCTTTGCTTCTCTTTTTGCTTCCTTTCTCTGCAAAACATCTGGTTTATCTTCTTGCCTCTTCCAAGTTTAATTATTAAGATGGTTTTATCTCACAGATAGTTGAGTTCTGCCTACTATTTGGCAACTAGCAAAAACTGAAAATTGTGAGTTTGAATATATTTATGTTGTAGCTTTGTATTGAAGTTGAACCTTCATCAATCTGATAATTTTGATATTCTTTTTTTTTCTAGAGCAGTGAAAGATCTGTTTTAGTACAAGTATTATTTTTTTTTTTAAGAAAACAAAAAAAAAGACATTACATTAAAAAGTCAGAAGGAAAAATCTCCTGATATTTCAAGCCTCTATGGTTAAATCAGAAGTAGTAAATATCTACGTGCACAACAAAAGTAAAAACTCAGATTTAGAGGGTAATTTCCTTTCACTGCAACAAGAGAAGTATGCAATAGATGGCAAGAGCTGACAAGTTGTTTTTCTTCTGGTTCTTCTAGGTTTCCCTTGTTCATCTCCTAAAGACAGTGCGATTGTTACGCCTCTTGCGTCTCCTTCAGAAGTTGGATCGTTACTCCCAGCACAGCACAATTGTTCTCACGCTTCTCATGTCCATGTTTGCCTTGCTTGCTCACTGGATGGCCTGCATTTGGTATGTCATTGGGAAAAGGGAGATGGAACAGAATAACCCCCTTACCTGGGACATAGGTAAGTTTTTTCTACCATATGCATAAGTAAGTGTATATGTGTGCACGTATACATATATATATGTGTGTAAACATATAAAAATATATGTATAAGCCTGGTTTTGTTTAACCATATACAATTACTTAATGTTGATTGCAGAGAAAATGAATTGCTTTAATCCTATAATTTTGATTACCAATCAAGTAAAGGACAAAAGATTGCACTAAAAAATATGGACTCAGTTTCACGTATAAATACCGTGCAATTTTTGTTTCTGAGGATTTTGAAAATTTGATTTCTAAGAAATCTTCTTTAAATTTTCAACTGAGAAACAAATTTCTCTCTACTTAGATAAGAAAGAACAATTCTTCCTCAATCTGTAAATATTGTGTGTTTAAACACTGTCTTTCTTTGGCATAGTTTCAATTAATTGATTTTAAGTGTGGAGGAATAATGGGAGTAGGAGATCTCCCTCATCTTCTACCCCTTTCCCTTCACCCCTTCCCCTCCCCCCATTCAAAATACTGAAAACAGTGAAATTTCCATGTTTGAAAAATCCAGAACCTAGGTAGAAAAAGGCTGGACAAGCTGTACAAATAATAGACAAGTTCATCTTTTTGCATGTTATGCAATTTTTGAGTAGAGAGATTCCCTTGTGAGTGCTGATTATTCTTTACTGTGCAGTGAAACAGACAGATCTTGAAAAGCCTTTCCATTAAAAACTCCCTCCAGAAATATTTTTTAGCTTATTTTCAATCTTTGCTATTTTTACATAGAATGGAAGATGTCTAACACTGCAGAGATGGAATTGAACCATTATATTGTATGTATGAAGTATGATCCACCATTCCTTCTGGTTTCTTTGAATATTCTAGCTTTACTGTGTAGATTTTAAACTTTTCAGATTATTTATAAAGGTTGTTGTTATTTCTAAAGGTTGTATCCAGGTGTGTTGGTACAGTGAGAAAACAATAAACTGTGTATAGGATCCTGATGTCACTAGTTCTGACATCCTGTTAAAGCTGTGTTGCCTGCTAGAGCAGATGATAATGCTCCACATCTTTCCATGTGGATAACTTGGCTTTACTGTAGAGGTGCATATCTTTTACTGTCTTTCTCAGATGGCATATCAATAATAGGCATCTCTTTTTACTTTCTGGTTCCTTGTGCTTTATCTTTTTGATTTTACTTACGTTTACCTTTCACTTAAAAATCCATAATGTGATAACAGAATCAGGAGGGGAAGCAAGACCAGCGATAAAATTAAATGAAGAAAAAATTAGATGAAGAAAGTCTTGCTAGGTTTCTTTGTACTGTTAAATACTAAAGGCACAATTAAATAATATATAAATAATTTAAATGATATAAGATATCTATGAGAGGAAAAGAGTGCATAAACAGTGTCTGATGGTGAGTCAGAATTTGCTAGTGGGAAAAATATTTGGTAAAATGATGCAAACACCTCTGACCAAAGGCTCAGTAAGATGCATTTGACTACAGTATCGCTTATTCTTCTCCTTTAGTTTCCTTCTTTCTTTTCTCTTAAACCTATTAAATATCATCTGATAAAGATAAGTCTGAAGGGAAAACGATAAATATGTTTAAAAAACTGAACTCAGATGAGGTGAGGATGCGGTGTCAGGATGAAGAAAAGAAGAAAGAAGATCCAATAAATATACCTCTCCAGTTTGCCCATACATTACTTAAAAGTTTGTGAAATCCTTTTATTCTTCTAGTTGGTTGTTTATTCCGCCTTGCCTTTATAAACCAGATCTGTGAACTGCTGAACTCCTCACACAGTGCAAACCTTTCAAAGAAAAGACGGCAACTGTAGGGGAGGATGCACAAAGAAATCCCACTGTGCAGAAATTGGGCAAATGCTGATAAAAGAAGAAAACAAATCTAGAAATAATAGTAATAAAAATGAAAGTGTTTTTGGTAAGAATAGTGAAGAAAAAAAAAAAAACCAACCCAAAAAACATGAACAGTTTATGTAGGTCATAAATGATAGACCATTTCAAAGCACTTGTTGCAGTCCCAAAGTTGAGTAAGGGCTTCATCCTCACTCCCCAGGTGGGCTGCTGGCAACACTCTCCATGTAGTTGCTTTCTGTTCCCTGAGCTCTTCATTTTAGGAAAATCTCCTCATCTCACCTGGGACTCTTGGCATTTATTGCAATAAAAATATTAACTTTCATCCTTTGCTTTGGTTCTCTCTTGGGCAATGGCAATAAAAGCAAACGTCCCTGATATCTTCTTTAGAACAAAGCAGTTTATTCAGAACAGAATCATTTTGCTGAAGTCTCATTTGTGTCTCAGTGAAGAATGCTGTATGTGGGTTATCACACATCAGTCATCTCTAGTGGGGTTCCTAGGCAGGAGCTGCTCCTTAACAGCCTCCCACCAATGGCTTGTTTTGCCATGAGACTCAGGGATTTTCCATGCTTGACTGCATGTAACACACCTTCCTGCTGAAATGGCTGGGGAAATTCTAAGCCTAGTACAGTCTTAAGCCTTAGCCTCCCACCTGGTGAAAATGCATTAATGTTGAACTTACAGCCTGATTTTATTTCTGTTGTTTCTAAAAGTGTGTTTGTGGATTTTTACCTGGAAAGCTGTTCTACCACCTTCGTGGATAGTCTGAAAAAATTAGCTGTTACGTATGAATAATAAAAGCTACATTACAGTGACTGCTGCAAAACTTATGCAGTTATTGTGTAGCAAATCAACATTATACCAGTTTCATATCCATCAGAAAGGTTGTTTCTATAGTTCTCTCTCATAGCAAATAAATATTTTATGATTGTTTTGTTTGTTTTTTAAGGGAAACAAAATAATGCAAGCAGAAGAAAGCTTGCTTTGGGATATAATAATGGTAATGATACTGCAAGACATAGAAAGTACTCTGTTTTTTGTACAAAGGGTACTTTTTGTGCATTTTTGGATTATGTGTATAACACATTTCTTCATGCAGACAAGGCAGTGGAATGTTATTCTTAGTTCTGTATTGATATGTTCTCATTTTTAAACTTCTGATTTTATTACATTAACACCAAAGATAGAAGTTCAATTTTCCATCAGTATATGAAGTTTATTCCAGGCATTAGGAGGCATTGTAATTGTCAGCACTAAAAAATACAGCACAAAAAATAACTTTTCCTTTAAACTTAATATGTGTCCCCCTTGGAAAGTATGCTTCTTAGTCTTCTCTGGAGTGTCTCAGCCAGTGTTTACATGAAGAAGTGGTATCTTGGTCATGGATACATGCAAAACATACAACAGCTAAAATATAGAGAAATATAGGTTTGTTCAAAGAAAGAAAACCCACTCCAGGAATGATAAGAATTCTTTGCTTGTTATATGTGAATCTATACTTGCGGAGAGGAATTAAAGCTTTTAGCAACCTCCTTTTACTGTTTCCTCATAAATCTTATGGCAAAGATTCAAAACTGAGGTCTTGCTAATGCTGAAACCTGACATTTAAACTGTAATACTGTAACATAGTACTTTGGATCTTGCTGTGCTATCCAATACGCACCACAGCACAGATCTCACAACATTGACTTTAATGGGAAAAACAGTTTGTTGTGTATAACACTTTCTCTAGCTAATTTAAAAAGATGAGGTCCTTCATTTGGATTTGGATTTGCATTGGACCAATGGGAGTAATGAAAAGTTCTCCCTGTGAAAATACACAGAACAAAAAAAATGTATTTGCTTTGTTCTCATTGACAGCAATTTTAAACTTTGTTTTTTCTTCCTTGCTTTTTTTCTCTCGTTTTCTTTGCTTCTCATTCTGTTTTTCTTTCTTTTCATTCATTCTTTTTCTTTTTTTTTTCTTCTCATCTTTATTCAGAAAATAATATCATTGGAATCAATTTAAAATCATGATTACATTTACAAATTTAAACATGTGGCTAAATAAGAAAGATGTTGTGTAGAAATATTACTAATATTGTCAGAATGTGATGGCATTGAGAAAAGTGCTAATGTTAAAATCTTGCTCCATTCTATAGCTCTAATACTGATATTTTAAGTGACTGTGTAGGGTGTTTGGAAGATACACAGTGTGGGCACAGCTTTAAGGCTCTAGAAATCTTTATCTCAGCAAGTTTTCTCACCTCAGAAAACTGTAATTCTGTGTGCAGCAGCTTGACTCTGGCTTGACTCTCCTGAGACAGTTATGTTCTTTTCTTGCTTTTCTCCTCCAGCTTTTTAAAATCTTTTGTTATTAAATTTCATGTTGTTCCCCTCATTCATTCTCATGGGTGAAACAGATGTTTCAGTAAGACACAAGATGAAGAAATAAGATCAATTTTCAGTTAATGAACACAAAATAGAGGTGTAATTGTGTGGAGGTACCTGACTGATCCCACCACTGTAATTCCTTTTTCTCCAATACTTTGTCTCTCATTTCTATAGGCTTAGCTGATATCAGACTACGTTATAGGGTCTTGATTGGCTCTATGCTGTTTTGAATTGCATATGTTGAACTATTCCTCTTCAAATTTTTATCAAGAAATTGCTTTTAAACCTCTCTCTACAACCAGAAGATAATACTGAAAGTGTTTCCTGTTGCTAGAGGCATTCATCCGGTGAGAACCATAGGAGCTATTGAAACTCAGCTGTCGTGAATGTAGTGAGGAGATTAGGAGAAGAGCAAGGGTCAGTAAGCTTCTTGCCGAAGGTAGTCAAAGGAGTCAGGTATAATTTCTGCAACTGTCTTGAGAAAATTCTTTGTTGACCACCAGAAACTCAGCTGCAAATTTTTGATAGTGCACCTACAGTACAACTTATACAACTTATAACATTCAGACTGTGGAGGAGTTGTTATTAAAGTAAAAATAAATAAACAAAATAAGTGAATAACTAGCCAATGATTTTATAGAAAATCAAGTGTTTTTACTTTGGGAGAAGTTTTAAGCAGGTCAGTAAATAGCTTTCTTCACCATAGAACACATCCATTCACCTTTCAGGTTTTTGCTCTCTTAATATAGGTCTTGTAATTTATTGCATTTCTGA